GAGGTGACCACGCACGGAAGTCGCGATATCTGTCTCTGATGATCGATCAAGTTTTCAACTTGCTTGATAATTACGTGACAACTGAAGGGAAGGTCTTCTTCAGAGGGAAAGCTGTAGAAGGAGCACACCCCGGCCGCGGATGTACGGGCGCCGACGTCGCGGCTGCGTGGTTTGGACCATGGCAGGCATACGATATCCACTGCACATTTGCAGTTGGTTATCCAAATCTTCACCACACACATCCCATTTGTTTAATAGTTTGATGCAAATGGTTTCCAGTGTACTTTCATTGCGCTGCTTTCTCATACAAATAAAGCGCGGTGGCAGTCCACCGCTCCGGCGGGAGGTCCTGTGATCCACTCGTTGATCTTTTCTTTTCCCCTTTGAATGCTGCTTTAGATCATTGACCGCTTCAATATCTCTTTTTTTACAGCGTTATTTCCCCCCTACAACTATGTCATCGCGCGCACTGAGTCACCCCCACCTTCGCGCGGGTGGCAGAGCACCGCCGATTGCGTTACACTGTCGATTTCTGCTAGAACACTGCAAGTTTTCTCAATTTGCTGCATGTTTTTGACATTTTCTAACAAAAGAATCAAAATAATGAAATCGATTTTGGATTTCTCTGTGAGCGCCAAAAAAGTAGCGATTTGATGCAGGCGGTGAGCATAATATGCAGAGGGAGAGAAAAGGGGAGTCGCACATACACAAACTCAGGTTAATTGTAGGGTCTCTCTCTTTAGCAACTTAAATTCCATTCTTGCAAGAGGCGTTTAGGCATCTGGAAGATCGCGTCTGTCGGTTGCTGCACAAGGAAGAGCACAAGAAGCAGCGAAAAACACGTTATTCCGCGTTTCCAGAGTAACAAAGGCCTGCCGTGCCCGGATTTACATAAATGAATGTGTACGCATCCATCGATTGCATTTATCAAGCAGCAAGAGTGTCCCCGTTAATCATTTCACTCACTCTGGCAACCGGCCGGCCCGCGTGCATGTTCAAGAAAATGCACGGGCATGCCTTGAATATTCGGTTGTGAACTAATCTACGAGACGAAGAACCGAGAAGTCTCACAGCAATACACAAATAAGCTCATCAATTCAACAGAAGCAGCAACGTACAGCTACTTGAAGGGAATCGCGCTCCTGTTTAAAGAGCTTCTTAGGTTCTGGACCTCCCATGCCCGGCATTAGAGCGGCTGCTGCAGCGCAAAAATCGCAAGCACAGCGCACAAACATACATGGCCGGCACAACAGCAAACGGAGGCAGCTAGCAACGAGCAAACGGTGAGCTGAAGAGCAACCGCGGTAGATACACCCATGGGAAAATACGCACGTCCTCCTGGAGGCATCCCTAGAGCGGCAGTGAGAGCAGCGTTCGCATTATCCTGAAACGCGTCTCCTTCAGATCCCCCGGCAGAAAACGAAGAAGACGAGGTAAAAATAGAATTTAGCAGAAAGAATAGACCGCCAATGCTCAACATGACCAAGAAGTACCTGTGAGAAACCGGTACATTAGAAATAGCTGCAGAAGTGTTCACGTGCGTTCATGCACATACTTTCAGTTCATAATTTGTATACAAGCACATACATGTATACAGCTTCTAAGCATAAACACATCCGCCTAGACATACATATCGCTGGAGAGTGCTCAGAGCTCATACATACAGATGCACAAAGAGCTATACGTATCTTCGTCTAAATCCAAAGACCTCGTAACTAATGGACTTTTCCAGCTTGCAGAGCAACTGCATCTCGTTAGCCGCAAGACTGAATGCCAGCAGTTATAAAACTAAAAGCGCAGACAGGGATGACTCAAGTCTCATGCGCGTTGTAAAAGTACAGATTAAGCCGAAAACGACAATAATGTACATACATATGCACAGAAAATATAGGAACACGTTTTCGTGTAGAAACGTGCTGGGGATGGGCGCATGTCTTGTGTATGCATTCGATTGGCGATACTCAGTAGCACACACGCAGCATCCTCCACAGGCGCCTCCCCTCCTGAGGATGATCAATTAATAGGAGTCTCGAGTTTTGGTGTCTCAGGCAGAGAAGCAGCTCCTTTTCGTGTCTAAGTATTGCACAAGAAGGGCCACTTTTGCAGCGTCAGCCGGCAGAAGGACGACAGGAAGCTTCTTTTTCATGAATCTAGAAGCAGCTACAGAGGATCCACCTTACCAGGAGAGAGACGAAACATAGTTTACTTGCAACAAGGGTACATCGACCCCCCTCTGTAGCATCGCCTTGAATCGGTATGGCAAACTGATCGGCGTTTTGGCTGCAGAGAAGAAGATACTTGCACACACAACTTTACTGCACAAATATGCAAACCTCGACACGACGCTTACAGCAGCAGGCTGCCAAAGCGTGAGACAGGGAGCATGCGAAAGGGCGTTGTGAGGCACGTTAAGGTCAAGCGACCAAGTGCGCTCACGGACCAACAACAAAGCCAGAGAAAAATGTGTTAATCAAATACGCCATTCCACCCTGTAATATGATGAACGCCAGCTGTGACTTCATCGCCGAGAAGGCGACTGAGGGGTCTGAGACACATACACGCATACATGCAGCGGCATGCCCACGTACTCACACTTCTACTCACACATATTCACACTTATACATACATATACTCACACTAACACATACACATACGCAAGCCCGAACAACACAAAGAGCATTTGCCAACATAAAAAGAAACTCTCTGTCTGCATCCCGTAAGCGCTTTCCGTTTCTCTGCTCTTAAAAATCGTGCCTTGTTGCAAGTCTGGTTCCCATATGCCAAGAGCACCCCGTACAACTCTCAGGCCTGCTCCCCCCTCCCCCCCCGGTTGCCTAATTTTCTACCCATCCAGTCCTTCTTTACTCAGACACCTCTCGAAAATTTACACACGCAGAGCAAAGTCGCCATAGGAAAGACACCGCAGGCGCACGCATGTCTCAGGTGCACCCCCTCCCTTTCCCCTCGTGTAGGCGCGTTTTAAAAAATGTGCTGAGACTGACCTTGTTTCGCAAAATTCTCGAGACTCCGCACGGCGGAAGCTTCTGGAGCGAGCCACAGGAGGCCTTGCTGCTGGTGGTGTTGCCCTCCCCGAGATCCAAGAAGCAGCTGCTGACGACAAAAGAAGCTTCTAGGAGCGAAAAGCCACAAACCCGGCCCGCGCAGCAGCTGCGAGCGCAGAATTACCGACCTGCATGCAAGTGTAACGCAGAGGAAAACGGTGGCAGACGTAGCGACGCCATGACGGGAGGCGCAGCTCATCGATGCACAAAGCGAGGATACAGCAGGCTACAAGCAGGAGCATGCGGGAACGGAGCCAGAATCGTCGCTAAAATTGGGGGAAGGACGCTACAGAAAGGGTGCGAGCAAGTGCGGGGGCACAAGAAAGTGAGAGAGGGAACGGCTGAATGTGAGACTGAAGAAACAAAACAGGTGCCCCTAAATAACGGCATGCAGAAAAGCCCCGTGGTGCTAAGGCGGATGCGATCGGCCATAGTATTCTAAAAATATACGCGAAAGAAACCGCCTTCCGATGTGCCAACACGCCGACGAAAATGAAAGCGGCAGCCAAGAGGCAGGAGGAGGACCCCCTGAGCAAGCGGGGGTCGAGCCAAAGTAGAGGTGCAAGGAGAGGCAATGAAACGGAGAAGAGGGGGACTGGATGGATGCACAGACAGCGCATTCAGAAGGCCACGTGTCGGCATTCACGCACAAGGGAGGATGCGAGAAAAGGGGGAGTCAGCAAAGTGCTTACGAAACGAATTGCTGCTGCATGTCTGGCTGCGTATCAGTCTTTGGCGAGGTGTCCATCAGTTTCTGTCTCAGCAGAGAGCAGAGCAGTACCAGGAGGACGATGGGCAGCAGCACCCAAGTGCCAATCATGGAATCCAGCACAAGGAGCTCCATGGCGGATATTGGGAGTGCACACTTGCAGACGGAGAGAGGGGCGATGCGACGGCCAGGAGGATGCAGAAAGGACGAGAAAATACATTCATGCAATATGCGGAAACGGCCAGATTTGGCGTGTATCAATGGAACCCTCCACACAGGCAGGTGCACAGTATAACAGGAGGCTCACGCACACGGTTACGGCAAAGGGTTGTGGACGCTTGCAGCAGCCTCGCAGATCTGTTGCTGATGCGTGGAAACACCGGAGGAAAGAAAAACACAAAATCGCTCTTTATGCGCCGCCTCTAACATGCGACCAACGCGCAGATATACCCATCTTTACGGGCTGTGGCTGCGGCTCGTTCAGACGCAATGGCAAAAATGGAGGGCAGCGGTTCTACCTCAGACATGCCATCATTCCTCCGCTAGAAAATTCAACGAAGCATATTTTCCACTGCTGTAGACAACTTTCTGGGTTGTTCTGCCACAGGAAGTGGTGAATCCCTCAAAGAACACTTCCCTGCGGCAGCTCTGGCGACCAGCAGACGTGAGATGATGCATGCAGAGGCTGGTGTGACTTCAGCCCGTGGGCGTGGAGTTTGCCGTATGCGGATGATGTATGTTCCCCAAGTTCCTGCGCAGAAAGCCATTATGTGCATTGGCTGCCCTTCTGAAGCTTGAACTCCATTTTTTAGCTCGAAATAGCCTCAAGAACCGCAAGCCCTAGGCGCTGTTCTTCCGTGGCAGCGGCGTAACCGCACAAGTCGGCGCAGTGCCCCTTGTTTATCGCTGCATCCCCCTCTCCGATCTTCCTTGTTTGATAACGTCTCGATTCTCTTATTTCTTCGCGTGGACTTCATGCAATTCAGCGAACGCGCGCTGCAGAGAACTGACTAAGGGCCTCTTCGGCGCAACGGTCGCGTGTGAGGGAGTCTTCCCATCCATACAAGAAAATGGGTATGTCGTAGCAACGGCATCCGAAATGCACCCCCAGCAGATGTTTATGCCTAGCGCTATGGAGAGTGCCACCTCGGGAGCAGCCAGCCGTAACCAGATACGCAGCCTTGCCTCCTTCTAGAACTGAGTTGTCTTCCAGTCCCCCACCCCTCCCTGAAAAAGCAGAAGGAGCTCCTGCAACAGGCAGCAACGCACCTCGTTACTTCGTACCCTTCTCTGTGCATAGCGTTCTTTGCACGATTCTCCCTCCCTCCATCCCCAGCTTAGCTTCTGTTTCGCTCTCCTCACAGTATGTGTGTATGTGCGTATGTGTATATGTGAATGGGTGTGCAACCCTTCTCCCTCGATGGCGTACTTCTGTCCTCTGCTGATCTGCATACTGGCGCTGTGGCGCATGCAGTGAATGCGATTTCTCCGTCTGGGACTGGGCGTCTTGTTTTGCCTGCAGATGCCACTGACCACAGTGCCTCTCCGCTGTGTGTATAAATGTACATATCCGTATATATATATATGTGTGTATCTATACATACACTGACGCGCCGCTTCTACGAATCCGTGTTTGACTAACACATCCTGTCGTGTGTGCTGATGCATGTATGGCGCCTGTTCAGCGCTCGCAGAGAATTGGGAAGATTTGTTAGACGAACTCGAGGAACGTGAGATGAGACGAAGATCCTAGACATTCGATTTCCCTCCGCAATGAAGTAGAGGTTCTTCCTAGGAGAGCCCCACCATCGCCGCTTTCTATTTCTCTGTCATTCTTTCGTTCTTTCTCTGGCCGTTCGCCTCTCTGCTGCTTGTATTTCTGCTTCTTCTTGTTTTGTACTTTCTCCGTGCTGCCTTGCCATCTGCATTGCCGCCTCTTAAAAGGGGAAGGCCCCCTTCTCCTGATATTTGTATGTGTGTCTGTGTGTGCAATCCTCGTAGAATCGTGCCTCCTGCTTGTCATGAGCATATCATGCCTCCCCATTTCCATCCATTATGCGTATATTTTATCTACTGCCCCCGCTTCTTGAGCCGCGTGTGTTTTCTTCTCAGCAGCAGCTGCTCCTCCCCCGAAGGCTGCTACGAGCGCTGCCACTAAGAAGGGCATGGTCTCAACACACGGATTTGCCGCAGAAGATGAAATACTGAACGACCCTATGGCAGAAAGGCTCAGACGCCAGAAGTATGGCTCCTCACCTGACATGCCTTGTGAAGACAGTGCCTTCAGCCTCATTTTCTTATTCTTTGAGCTTATTCAACCCACCCCTTGCCGCTCAATACACAGCTGTCACTGCATCACATCTGTTCATGCATCCCATGCGTGATCGCTTGCATTACTTCTAATGCGTGTGCAAGCATACCCTTCTCCTTCGCTCTACTCAGCCTTGTCGGTCGTGTGTCTCGCTTCAAGGAGGCAACAGGCCTTCCCTTCCTCTACTCTCTTAACCTTGAAACCTTTTCTTCCCCCTCCCTCCCTCTCCCCCTGCCCTTCGTCCCCTTTCTGTTCTTGCAAAAGTGATACCTGTGCGCGCACAGTTTCTCTCCCTCTCTCTCTCGAGACGACACGGGGTGGTGCGTTCGGGTTGCACTCCCGTATCACGCTTAATGCACGGCTATATGCATCTTCTCCTCCCTTCAGGCTTGTGGAAAAGGACGAAAAACGCCTTATGGATGATCTTTTTGCCGGATGCGAGCGGCCAGATGTGCCTCCGACTGCGCAGGCTGATTTAGAGCAGCGGGCGGCTTTAGCAGCAAAGGCAGCAAAGGCACTCTCCGGTAAACGTTGATCCAGCTTCTTATCTCTTGCGCGACCTTCTCTTGCTTCCCCGTTCTTGCTTTGGATATGGGCTCTGTATGCATGTGTATGTGTATGTGCCGTGTGATAGGGTGTGTATCTATATGTGTGTATGTATGCATGTATATGTGTATCTATGTGTATGTGTATGCATATGTATGTGCCGTGTGACAGGGTGTGTATGTGTATGTGTATGTAGGTATATGTGTATGTGTGTGCGGTGACATGCGAAAGGGCTAATGCGTAGACGAGTGCAGGGAGGGGTAGGGCGTCTGAGAACATCGGTTCTGCCCAGCCTGCAGCACAGGCGTATGCGCATGCAGTGGCGGAAAGGCTTTGTGCGTCTCATGTCTTTTGCTGCTGTTTTCTGTGTGGCTGCTCTCCCCCTTTGTCGCACTTTGCGCTTTCGGGCGTGCTGCAGTGACCTCGAGCGATCCGCTGGACTCTATACAGCTGAAGACGTTTCGCGATTGCGAGCGACTCGTCGAGTCACTATCCAAGAAGATCCTGGATAGTCCTGTTCGTTATCCGAATTAATCCCGTAGCATGAGTAGGAGGCTTGGCGGGTGTGAGAGAGAAGGGGGTGTTGCTGGGGTCGAAGAGGCGGTGCTAAGGGGCCTCATGGGGGGTGGGAAAGAGGGAAAAGGGGGGCAGCAGTTGCGTCCGCACAAAAGCGGTGAATCGGAGTGGTGGGGTTGTGTTTGCTGGCGTGCGTTTAGGCCAAAAGCCCCGCGTGGCTGCGCCTTTTGGATCTGCTTCTGAAGGAATGCAGTCCGAAGATGGATCTTAAGGTGCGCGTGCTGCATTAATGAAGCATTTTTGTTGGGTTGTTGTTGCGAAGCGCTCAGATCTAGAGCCTACCCTCAGTTCTGCGCTTACGCTGTAAAGTTTGCATGCGTGCTCGTCTCTTTCCATGCACCCCCAACGCGTAGGAAACGTGAAGACTGCCGAATGGAGCCTTTTGGAGAGGCTGATTTTAGCGAGAAATACCTCTTGGGTGGCCTGTCAGCGGCGACGTCGATGCGTTCTCTCCTTTTTGTGGTGTTTCTTTTGTTTGCCCAGGATTTGCGGACGCTGCAAGCAAAGTTGAATGCCACCGTCACGGAAAAGGCGAAAGCCGAGAGGCAGTTGGCAGAGAAGAAGAAGAAGCCGAACGACATTGGCTCGCAGTGCAGGAACTACAAGGATGAGCTCGAAGTCGTGTATGGCGGAGAATCAGAGGTGTGAACCTGGCTGCACACTCGTGCAGCATTGTTGCATGATAGACATGTCGGCGGCTATAACGTGACAAGGACAGACATACACCGTTAGAGAGCGAAGGAAGAAGGGAGGAGGCGAAGCGCCGGCAGCGCACGGGGGAAGGGGGCTTAGATATGTCCGTATTATGCGTGTATATATATATATATATATATATATATATATATATATATAGATGCATTTTGATGCTCAACGGGGTGTGAGTGACCGTTCCGCCACCCGGCTTCGTCCGATGCAGGGGAATAGGGGGAGACGCAATCCCCGTTGCGGGGAAAATGGTATTTTTGGTGCAGTGTTTGTGTGGTCTTCTTCAGGAAGAGGAGGAGGACGATGACGAGGCTGACTTCATCTGAGCGGGGAGGGGGAGAGGGGTCAACGGTGCTGAGGAATTCCGAGTTTTGTCTGCTGTTGATGCCTCGTATGGGTGGGCGGTCAGTTTGGCCGTTTAGAGGCTTCTGCCGCCGTTGCAGATGCTGTGTGTGATGAGCTGACACGGGCTTGCAGCCTTGACGACACGCTGCACATGGCATCCAACCGCAGCTCTGCATGAGATCTTTGAAACTGTCGACGTAGGGAGGGGCAGAGGAAATGAGGGAATTTCAGGGAGGGACAGACAGCGCTGCGGCACTGAGTAATGCTGATGCTTGGAGAAGGGGCAGGTCACTCGCCTCTGCACTCATATTTCATCTATCAAGCAACACGCACGGGCAGGGGTAGCAGGATCAGGGGCAGTTCTTAATCACAAGCAATACATCCGGGAGACGGGGTGAACGCATTGCTTTCGTCTCAAGGGTGTGCACAGCGGCCTACAAACTCTAAACAGACAACCGAACTGCAAAGCACATTTCCCTTGGTGTTGCTACAAAACAATGCCTACACACCACCATCCTGATAAGCTCGTCTTTCTCAGTGAAAACTGTCGTACAGACACTGCAATTTGACTTTGCTAGATATTAGCGTGGTGCTAGAGAAGAAACGGCTTGTGATGCGGTGCGGGCAGCACGCGCATTCCAAATTTTTGCAGACATTTGACGCCGTGCAGTCTCCTCCTCCGCCAGCCTCCAGCAGTCACGCTCGTAGCTCATTGTGTAACACTTGGTACTGCACGTACTGGGGCATGTGCAAGGGGTATCAGCTAGGACCGCAGCGCATGCCTCTCCGTGCTTTGGAGAACTGGCTCGGAGGTAGGTCTGTCGTAAAGAAAACTGTTGAGCACGCTGTCAAGAAGGTGCTTTGCCCCGGCTTTCCGCTGTTTAAAGGCACTCCCTAGGGAGCAGTCAAGAAAAGCTCACGAGTAGTTTGTTCGGTATCAAAATGAAAGGGCGGCAGCAGCCGTCGCGACCATCCCCGTGTACTCTTGGCGCACCCGTGTAACAGCTCGTTCTTTACGTCCACACAAGACACTGACATTTCTTCTAATGTCCACACATGCACAAACGCTCTTCTGTATAGACACCCATTGGTGAACAAGAAAGGCAGCATATCAGCGGTGGTTGGGGGCGCGACACGTTTGGCGACTTCTATCAGTTACGACTGTCCTCGACACTGATGCATGGAGTTCTGCCTATTCTAACGCGTATAATCAGATGCACAGAAGTTAAGGAGAATACGGAGAGAAGCCTCCTGTGGCAAGGTTAGCTACACCTGGGCACTCTCTACTGACTTGCCACAGTAGTCAATAATCGGTAGAGAATCGATTATTTGGTTTCTCTGTCTGTATATCCCACTTGTACTGTGACTCAATGCAGCAAGACGCAATGCTGTGTGCGCGTACGCCAGGTGCTCTGTACAACTAGCTGTGAGTGCTTCGTGGCTACATGCACTTTAGCTGCCGCCGCCCCTCGCGCCTTGCCGTTACGAGGGGTGTGGGCAGAGAAAAGAAAAAGTCTGTTTCATATAATTCCAATATCTTTTTCTCATGCTAGTATTGAATCTGGATTTTAGTGTCTTCCCAAGCAGATATCAGGTGGGGAGGAAAGGGTGGTAGCACCGCATGGTTCGATGGAGCTGTATTACTCGCATCCACTGGCTGTGGATGCAGTGGGATGTTAGGCTTGAGTAAGACAGCGCCTGCTTTTGACCAGAGTGTTTCGTAGCTCGGTAATATGCTTCTTGACCATACTGTGAGGTACAAGCTCTCCAGCGTTAAAGAGTAGACAGTGGCGTAACGCCTGTCATGGCGGCAGAGGCCCGCCTGTAAGCTGATGTGAGCCTAGTAGCTCCACACCTGGAATAAAGGCATGATTTCCCTTTCAACCAAATATTTATATGTGCATCGCTGAGATTGTGCCGACCAGGCAAGTATGACGGCCGTACGGACGTTTACGGGGCAGTAGGAGATGTACCTTGCTTTGTACCTACAAATTAACAGAAACGAGTGCTCCTTTTCCCTAGCAAATCAACGAAAACCGAGTGTTTCTTCTGACCTATTTTATTTGAGGGAGAAGCACCTCTACTGGAGCTCTACCTATGTAGAGAATGTCGTCTGACTGCGGGGATTGCTGCAGTTGAACCCTTCGCGCAAGCTTAGATCCATCGAATTATGACGACATCAGCTCGGGTGCGAGCTTTGAATGAGTTCAGAATTCTGGAGCATGGTCATATATCAGTGGATTGATACACCGAGGTGTAGGAAACTTCTCTTTACAAAAGCAACAACGTAGATGAACAGAGGCCTCGTAACTTGTTCATATTGGGTCATCCCCAAATGCTGCGTCAGGTGGTTGCAGGATGGATAATAACACAGCAATTGGGCAGCCAAGCGTTGGGGCCTTCACAAATGGTAGACTACTTCAGACCTCAGGAGAAAATGAGGGCAACTTCTTTGTCTTGGGTTGAAAGGGAGATCCAATGTTGAATTTAGAACTTGTGGATGCCGGGGTCGTCTCAACTGAACCTAGCCTCTAAGGCGAGTGAGAAAAAAGGCCAGAAAGAACTCGCGCTTCTAAGCAGAAATATACAGTCCCCAACAGCGCAACTGCTTTCATTGTGGGAGATTGAGTCGTATGATGCAAGCGCATGTATATGCCAAGAAGCTCGAATAAGGGGGCTAGCTCCGCCGGACCCAGGCTTATTGGAGAGAAGCAAGGCATATCAAGGAAACGGAAAGCCCCCTTCCCAAAGGCTGGAGCACAGCAAAGGGGGTTCTAGAGCACAGGCATACAATATCGATGCTTTTCGTACAGAGCCGGAACTCTTCTATACAAGAAATAAACAGTAACGCACACGAAAAGCCATTACAAAAATATGCTAAGCGAATAGATGGTTAGATATTACAAGGGTAACATGAAGTGCTTACATGCGCCTAGCTCATGACGCTTGCGGCTTTCCCCTCATGCCAGAACCCTGTGGGGGGAAACCAGACACGAGGGAACGAATTTCCCGATGAAGCATTTTAAAAAGATTCCAGCTAATCGTGCATGGGATTTGGGGGTTAAAGGGAGTTGCTACCGCGAGCTTATAAGAGGAAGTGCCACCTTTCTCTGCTCTCTGTAGGAATTCCAAAGGTGAATGCCAGTGAAGGCTACTCTATGTCCCACTGGAGGGACCTCACCATGCAATCGATATGGTGGACGTATTTATTTGTGCAATTTTCCCAAATAGGGGAAGGGCGAAGGAGGTAAGCCTCGAAGGGGCAACACGGCCTCAAAGACTAGGAATGAGGAGGATACTGCACTCCAGTTTTTCCTTTGCCCACATACACAGTCTTACAGTGTTAGAAGAGTCATAGTAAATGTAAGTAGAAAAAAATAGGCTGTGTCAATACTGAGTTGGACTGCTCTTTTAATCTTGCGCGCGACTGGAGTGTGCATTCACTTGGACGTGTGCAAGCGGTGTTGTCCATAGAGCTTCTCCTATCAGTGCCTGTAAGGCATTAATAATTATACGTCTTTAATTGAGGTATATATATCAATTTCGGCGGATTGTGTTAATCTTTTGCGGTGTGGCTTGCAACCAGCAGTCAGCGGCTTCCGTGTGCATGCAGCTCTGTTTGGCCATGAGCAGGCGCCCACTTCGTACCCTCGTAGCTGCTTTCCTCTAGCGTTTGGGAATTTTCTTTGGCAGCAGATTTCTCTGAAGCGCTAAGAGCGCGTCCAAAATAAAAATATATGCGCGGGCAGCTGCTTCCTCTCCCTGAATGCACTGTTTCCCGTGGCACCTTGAGCGTTCTTTTGTTTCTGGTGGCTCTTTGAATCTGCCAGTCATCTGCTGACCGTACTTGCAGTCACCTGCAGCGTCAATTGCTATGGACGGCTCCGCTGCACGGCAGCGGACGGCATCCCGTATTGCAGGATTCATCTACACGGAGAGCATTGAGTGGTCATCCACCGAATGATCTGGCACTGACTGATCAACTGAGCAGTATTTCCGTGTCTATATTCTGCCTGGCAGAAAATGGCTGCGGTTGGCATGCCCCCGCATATCCTGGCGCTTTTTCAGGCTCGCAAACCCTTGGACGCATTCCCTGCATTCAAGTCAAAGCATCCCAGGCCGTATGAGGGCGTGGCTGATTTTGTTCGGAAGTTTGAGTCGGTGCCTCCTCCTGCGGTGGCTCCCTTCGAGACTCCCAAGCAGCGGCAGATTAGGAAGAAGCGACAGAAGCTGCTGGCGCATTTGCAGCAGCAGAAGCGGCTGGTGGAAGAATACAAGCCTTTGGACGACCCCAAAATCGAGGGTGACCCCTTCGCCACGCTGTTTGTCGGGAAGCTGAGTTACGAAACGACAGAGAAGAAGCTCAAGAGAGAATTCGAAGTGTACGGGCCGATTCGGCGCGTCCGAGTCGTCAGAGACTGCGAGGGGAAGCACCGTGGCTATGCGTTCATAGAGTATGAACGCGATAGAGACATGAAGGAGGCCTACAAGAAGGCAGACGGCACAAAAGTAGATGGCAGGAGGGTTCTGGTCGATGTCGAAAGGGCCAGGACGGTTCCTGGGTGGCTGCCAAGGAGGCTGGGGGGGGGTAGGGGACCTCCAAGAGGAGCTGGCAAGAACCAGCCGGATCTTAGCACGATCGTTGCGCATATCAATGGACCTCCAACGGGAGAAACCAAGGAAAGAGGGAGAGACAGAGATCGGCCAAGGGAAGGGGATCGAGATCGAGAGCGAGAGCGGGAGCGGGAGAGGCGGCATAGGGATGAAAGGCGGCGGAGCAGGAGTAGGAGCAGAGATAAACGCAGGTACTGCAAATGCTTCTGGCCCTGCTGTCAATGAATATCATGTTAAACGTGGTAGAGCTTGCGCAAATATGCCGGCCGGTAAACATACATACGTATGTACGCCAGCTACACATGCATTAAAAGCGTTGGGGTTTCAAAAAAAACAGTTCCTCAAAAGCCTTTCATTGATAGGCGCCTTGCGGTATTGCTGGGGCGCTTTGATCTACTGTAGCCGAGTGGGCGTGTGTGTATTTATGTGTGTATTTATTTGTGCTTTTATATGTGTATTTAAGTGTGTGTGTGTATTCATGTGTGTGTATTTCTGTATGTTTGTGTATGTGTGTATTTATGTTTGTGTGTGTTTATGTTTGTGTGTATTTATGTTTGTGTGTATTTATGTGTGTGTATTTCTGTATGTGTGTGTGCATTTGTGTGTATATTTGTGTATGTATTTATGTGTGTATTTATACGTATGTGTATATTTGTGTATGTATTTATGTGCGTTTTTGTGTGTGTGTGTATTTATATATGTGTGCGTATTTGTGGGTTGTTTAGGGACGACCGAGACAGAGAGCGCAGAAGGTGAAGGGAGGGCAGGAAGCGGTAGAAGCACACTTGTGGGGAGATAATTGAGAAGAATTAGGCGCGGCGATCGTCTGTTCTTTTGGAAGGGGCTTTGATCCTTTTGGCTAAAGGCGGCGGTTGAGCTGCCTTTGCTGCATGCAACACACATCAAGTTGAGAGGGCGGGGGGGTTATTAGCGGCGTGTTCTTCCTTCCCTTACTTTTGGCATTGGGATTTATTTTCTCGCGTCTGTGAAGGCGGAGACGTGAGCCGTCACGTGCGACAGCGAGAGGAGGTAGTAGGAGGCGCTGGACTGGGCACGATGTGGATCGCGTGATATGGGGGAATGCAGGATTTGGATTAGGCGATGCTGGCGTGAGTCAGTGACTCGGGCATAGCGGGGGAGCTAAAGCAGTTAGAAACATGGGTGCCTTAGGATCTCCACGTTTTTGTCTGCCGTAGGTGTAGTCATTGTTATCTTTTGCCTGCATAGTTCTTCGCGTCTTCGTGGATGTCGATGCGTCTCTTCTGGCGAAGCCGGGGAGGGTTGGCAGCGGAGGGTGGTGCGTGCGTGTGCCAGTGGAGTCTGTGAAGCAAGTGTCGCTGCTGCTTTTCTGGTTGAAGACATAATGCATTTGAAGGCACTTAGTGAAAACAGGGGCCAGAAAAGTAGTGGACTGCGGAGGAAGGGGGAAGGAGGGAGGTGCAGGACAGAGAGAGCTAGAGAATCTAGAGGACGGCAATCTGGAGGGAAAACGTGGGCTGCCCGATCACAGGCTATAGGCGGTAGATGCAGTCGCAGGTGTCTCCACACATACGTGGTCTCGTGCAAAATTAGGAGTTCACGGTGCATTTGTTCTCCGTAAAGTGCTCTTTTTGACCGTGCAAAGGCGCGGGGAGCAAAAGCGAAAGCGACAATCCCTGCTGCAGAGATATGCGACGAAGCGAGGGTGCAGGCACGGACAGAGAGAGGCGTAGGGAGGGCGCGAAACAGAAGGCGAAAGTATTTAAAAACCGTTGTATTCGGTAAAGCATGGGGCCGTCTCGGCTGCATGGTAGGGAGACACGGTGGCGTCTTGTCAGGAGATGCGCAGATTTTTTCGCCCACGATGTTCAGCCATACGCAAGTCCTTATTCATGTAGTGGCTGCCGCCTCTGTGTTGCGTGTATTAGACAGTAAAGGTGCTCGTTCGATCGACTCAAAGGGGTCCCTTACGCGAATCTGGCAGCTGGAAACCGAAACAGACTCCCCAACTGTGCTTGCACGAGATGGAAGGGCGCACTGTGGACCGTAGCTTTCATGGGTCGAAGAATCGTTTTAGATTCGAGGCCTGACGGCCTCTCAGACGCTGAGTGGGAACTTTGCTGGCTTCGTTGCTTCATAGCGCTAGATGGATAGCGTCTGGGAAAGAAGCGTTCAGACATATGATTTCTGGTTTGTCTTTAGACACAAGAGGGGCCCCCAAAAGGCCCCCGCTACTCTCTGTAGGTGCATCTAAAGAAAGCTGCCCATCAGAAAAGCGGGAGCGGTGAAACAGCCGTGATCTGCAGCAGCGATGGGCAGCTTCTCTCAAGGAGGCGAAGTATCTTCCGCCTCGAACCTCTCTTCCCGCGTGCTCGCCAACACACGAATCTGCTATGCTGCAAGGCACCCTGGGAGATGCAAGCCTTCCCTGTAGCTTGCATCATGAAATACGACCCCGTATCCAATCCTACGGGGCAGGCAGCGCAGAGTGGAAAGGAAGCCGAGTTGCGACTTGGCATCGGACAGTTTGAGCGGCCGCCGACTGATGGCAGCAAAATCCACACATTTCCGTCCTGGGCAGTACGGCATTTGGCAAATAATTCACGGAGAATTGTATTTCGTTTCCCCGTTCCACCGTTGGGGCTCTCAACTCTCGAACTCCGTGTTAGCACTCGACGTCATTTCCTTTGCCTGATTTACTCTTCCCAATAACGCATGTAGCATGAGTGGCAAATTATGCTGGTTCCTCTTTCGCTTTTCTTGTTTTTGTACGGCAATCTAAGCTCCGGAATCCTCGCATGTCATGACTCCCCGTGATCTCCAAGAAAAAGCTCTTAGTCCCAAAACGACATCGACGTTCAGGCGAGTTTCATTGACTGTCTGAGGAAAAATATGCCTTTGAGGTTTTACCCTCAAGTTCCCGAGTAACTGTATGGAGAGTGCCAGCCAGTTAGTCTGCTTGCTACCGCATTCTTCATGCCTTTCAAATGCCGACTGCCACCTGTTTCACATAGCTGACGGACAGCTCAGTACACAGACAAACAGTGTTGTCCCCGAGAAGACGAAGCGTCTTCGTCTTAAACTGCAGCAAATATAGTAATTAGTGGCAGGGATAATCGACAACTTTCAACTAATTTGAAATCGGATGAAACTAGAGTGGCAAAAATCGCCCATTCGTACCGCGTCCCGTACGCACAAGGTCACCGGATGTACGAGTTGCAGCGGGCCCGGCTCCTTTGGCGCTTTTTTTACAATTTGCCAATTCTTTCCTTATTTTTATGTAGCTAGCTAGCTACAGCTCCTTGCGAGGTTTTCGTAATGAGACGCGTAACTCCAGACTGAATGCAAACCTGACATAAGGTAATTCTTCAAGAAAAATCTTTCTTTTCTTTCTCCGAGCCTCTTATAGTTCTGGCACAAGGACAGAGAGACGCTTAAGATGCGTATTTCTGCACCCCTTTGAGCACTCAGCGCATTCTCAGCTAGTTGCTTAGAGCATCTACGACAGACGATATTACTTTTTCTTGCATCGAGCTAGCAGTGTTCTACAATAATTAAGATGTACGAACGGAAACAACAGTTAGTCAGTTCTCCAGCAAGTGTAGTCAAATATCGCTAGTGTAGTAAAAAGTTCCTCAGTGTGTCCCATCTCCTACAGGGTGTACGCAAGTTTGTATATCTTAGCTACTGCAGAGAAGAGCCACCCTAAAGGGACAAAAATAAACATGGTGTGCATATGCAGCATTTGCTATTTGCTAGTAGCAGTAGGTGCTTGGAGCTTTGGGTGGGCGCGGCAAGGTTGTCGCTCAGTGTCCCACTCTGCTGATGCCGAAATTTTAGAAAGCCGAGGGCAGAAGGAGAAAGCTCGTTAAGAGGAATACTGCTTAACCTTTTATCGGCTTTTGTGGTTGGCGTGAAGGTGTAAGTGCCTGCCTACAGACACATCAACAGGAGCCGCATTGACACTTGCCTTGGTCTACCTAAAGGGTCCCTAGACGGATGACAAGAGAATGAGAGAAGGCGAGACACATCTTGTTTGGGTAGCCCTCAAGCATGCATTTGTTTGAACCCGTTGCACGTAAGAGGAACGTTTAGCACACAGGCCAGCACACAACTGGCTCGTATCAGATTGGGCTTAGCATAGTTCTCTGCTGCAACTAAGAGCGTCAAAGCGCGCCAAACCCAACAACAGCGAATGCTTTACTAGGTCCTTAAGAAGCCTAGCCATTTTAGAAGAAGGTGTCGAAGTGTAGCTTTCCCGCGCGTAGACGCAGTAGACCAGTTGGATAAGGCCTCTGCAACTGCCCTTCCCTGGTCAGCCATCGCATTTTATGTGCTATTGCAGCCAGTGGCCCCTTTATGGAGGCCAAAGGCGCCTTAAAGGGGAGGAAACTCGCGGTGCGGAGGCGCGACTTGGGGGGTGATGGGCCGGGCTTTCGTGGATAGGGCTTTGCATCCGATTTAGAGGTTTGCCGTTTTTACCTTGCAGCTCTTTCGTCCCTTTCAATGCATTTTGCGCGCCAGGGCATGTGAGAAAGCCACAGCGAAACACGCAGACAGAATTCACCAGCCACCCCAGCCCCTTGCATGCATGCATGCATGCCGTGCCCTTAGGTCAGGGGGCTTGCCTGCTGCTTCCTTTTCTTTTTCGGCTTTGCGCGCCTCCGTTCTTCAGTTAAGAATTTTTTCTAGAGCCCTTTTTCATGTTGGGGCGCTAGCTGAGGGGCGAGATGATCTTCGTGGAAACACCTGGTTCCGCAGTGCTCATCAGCCGTGCGGTGTAGACTCGGCAGCCGAGGACGGTGCAGGTGACCGCGTGTTTTTACACCTAGTTTTTTGTTTTCGGAGCGCGGCGTACGGGGTGCTGTTGTGCACTCCTCGCAAAAAGCTCAATGAGTCATTCTGCGGGGGGGCACAGAGCAGGCGACCAAGACAGGGGCCGAGAGAGGGAGCGTCACCGAGAGCGAGGCGATAGAGAATACAGCAGAGAACGCTACTGGGATCGCGACAGAGATCGAGATCGACTCAGGGAAAGAGGTCGTGATCATTGGGTTAGCGACGGTCGGCACAGAGATTCTGATTGGTCTAGGCGACGGTGAGGCCCTCCCTCCTCTTCTCCTTATGGATACTCATGAGCTCGCTTCTTGCTAAGATTCCGTAGGGAGTGAAAGTAGCGCTTAGGGGGTGTCGGTTCGTACCTCCTTGGCAGTCTCTCCCTTGCGGCGACTCCTGCCCTTCAAGGGGGGCGCCTGCATGGCCTTGTGGCTGTCTCTAGCGTGCTTACCCAAGGGACTGTTCTTTCTTCGGTTTGTGCTTGCACTCCAGAGAGGCAAATCTTCCTGTCTTCCCCTCTGCCGCGCCGGAGGGGGAGCACACCGATACAGTCTAATCTGTGGCTTCGTGAAGCTCACTTGTTGTTCTTTGCTTGCTCACCTGTTGTTTTTGCGTGCTCTTTGTTCTTTGCTTGCTCACTTGTTGCTTTTTGCTTGCTCACTTGTTCTTTGCGTGCTCACTTGTTTTTTCTGTTTGCTCGCTCGCCGCGATCGCTCCCCAGCAGCGGTCTTCTCTGTTCAAGAGATCGGTGAACGGATACATGTTGCCTCGATAGACAGAGAGGGCAAGCGTGTGAGTGCGCGCAACTCTTTCTGTGCGTGTCAAATGGACGCGAGCTGTCTTGTGAAACTCTCGTGTGTGTGAGGGGGCTGGCGCTCTGCTGCCCCTCTCTGGGTGCCTGCTTTCAGGGACAGAGACACATACGAGTCTCACCATAGGGGAAGCAGGCGATGGGAAGACTCGCGGGGGCATAGCAGCCGGAGGCGTTCTCGCAGCGCTTCAAGGGAACGGAGGGAGTGGCAGGCGAAGCTTGCCGCAAGGCGTAGAGAGAGAGGCAGCAGCGAAGAGTCTGAGGGGAAGGGAGCGCTCGATGGGGCCAGCGCTGTAGATCCAAATCTGACGGAAGAGCAGCTCATGGAGAAACTGATGGGCTTCGGCGATTTTAGCTCTTCGAAGGGCAAGGAACACACGAGCACTGATGTATCGGGGGTAAGCAAGCGTTCGCGGCGGCGGTACAGACAGTACATGAACCGAAAAGGCGGCTTCAATAGGCCCCTATCGCCAGTCTTTTAGAGCTGAGAGCGTTCGTGCGGAGGGAGACTCGCCCGCGTGGACAGGGGGTGCTAGAAGACATCCTGGCTGGCCTTTTCTTGGTTTGGCGATTTGGAGCCTTCTTTGCGGCAGTCGTAACAGTGATAATAGTAGAGTTAGAAGTACTAGTATTATTGGTAGTAGTAGTAGTGGCAGGGGTCTTGGTAGGGCTCGTGAGAGGAAAAGTTCTCTTCTTGCAGTTGGGTGTAGGAGGCGCAGGAACGGGGGAGGCAGGGGGACGGGGTAGCTAGCCATGCTGCTGTCGGTAGGTGGTGGGCAGGTAGCCATCCATAGAGGGAAGACAGCGGATGCAAGGGGCAACGAGGAATGTGCAGTTAAGGAGGGGGGAGGTGTTTGCGCTTTCGGGCTGGTCAGGATGGCGGAGGGGGGTGGTTCGTTTCGGAAGCTGCACGATCCCTTCGCGGCGCTTTCCCTACACATACGCGTTTCTGCAGGGTGCTAGGTGTGGTGTCTGGCCGCTATGACACACAAACATATATATATTATATATATATATATATATATATATATATATATAGAGAGAGAGAGAGAGAGAGAGAGAGAGAGAGAGAGAGACAAAGAGAGAGAGAGACAAAGAGAGAGACAGAGACAAAGAGAGACAGAGCGCAGCAGCAGCAAAACACCAGTCTTTGAGCCAAGGCTAAGAATCCTGCAATCGAGTTGCCTGAGGTGCCGCAAGCGGCTCCTTAAAAACATCTTTGATCGGCAATGCGTCAAGGCCTTAAGAAGGGCACGCCTCCTGGACTCGTAGACCTTTCCACGATGAACACAACGGCCTACAAAGCTACCGTGCAGCCGCAGCCTTCTTTGGCATGTGAGCGGCTTTCACGGGGCCGTTTCTCCCCTCCCTTTGCCTTGAATCATTCAAGGGGAGGTGGGAGAAGGAGATAGGGTGTTCGGGGGCAGTGCCTCTAGATTGCAGACGGTCGGCAAGGCGGGTGGGGGTGCCCCGTGTGAGTGCCTCAGCCTCTATACGCATGGAGGGTGTGTGTACGGACAGAGGAGACAGTCGTCTCAGTTTGTGGTCCCTCTGGGTGTATACGGCTAGAGGGGGCATCACACAGGGGGTTTTCTTGCTGCGCAAGGAAGAGAGCACGTCTACAACAGCTACAAGGACGTAGCTAAAAGGTGCCGTTCTCGTGCTCGCTTGCCGCCTCCCCGCTGGGGGCTGCTGAACCCCAGTACTTCGTTTGGGAAGGTCGGATGCCCAGAGCATGGTAACTGGCTGGCTAGCTAGCTAGGGAGTAGTCAGTCGGCCGTCTGGGTGGTGAGTAGCCGGCTAGGTAGCTAGCTGGGGAGTAGTCAGTCGGCCGTCTGGGTGGTGAGTAGCCGGCTAGGTAGCTAGTTGGGGAGTAGTCAGTCGGCCGTCTGGGTGGTAGGTAGCTAGCTATCTAGGGCGCGAGTGAGAAGCAGCGCGAGAAGCAAGTTGGCTTGCTGCAGCCTCCAACAGAGAAGTACGAAGTTACCGAGGAAGTCTGTGTTGGGCCCTATGAGCTCGTGCCGCTATGCAGCAGCGCGTGTTTAGTATCGAGGATAGAGCAGCGCAGTTCTTTCGAGAAAGGCCCTCACGTGGTCCTCGTTTCGCTCAACTGGTTGACTTTTCCCGCGAGTGTGCTGCCTTTGATGCCTCCAGTTTAATGCGGCATTTTGCGCGGCGCGCTACGATGATTCTCTCACCTCATGCCTGCGGCCTTGCCTGCACAATGAAGAGCCCGGCCTTGGTGAAGACACCCTCCACATCCTGCAAAGAAAGAGGACACACACATACACACACACACACACGCACTGCTATACAGCCACCCTCCCCCCCATCCATGCAGACCGCCTCCGCGCGCGCGAGAGGATTTATTGCTTTCTTGTAAGCGAGACAGGCTGCCCCCTGCAAAAAATTCCAGGCCCGTCCTGCATCATTGCCGCGCTTCAAGAGACCTCCACTCCTACTTTTGTGCCTGACGCTGACTGCTTTCTGTGCTGCTCGCACTGCCAGCGAGGACAATACGGATGCAGCAAACAGCGCCGCGAAGGACGCACCGTTGTCTCCATACGACGACTGCTGTCACTACGTCTTAAATTCTCTTTGCACTGCCCTTATCAGCCCCTGCACCCAGGTATCCCTCCTCCCCCGTCCACTCTGCCACCTTCTGTTTGTTTCTGCACGAACCTGCGGTTCCCCGAGCGCAACTGCAACTGCAGCAATTTGTTTTGCCGCTTGAGCGCGCAGTTCCCGAGAGGCAAAAGGGTCAGCTGTCTGGTCATACACCTTCACCCGCAAGAGCTTTTCAGGCTCTAGGGTAGGTGTGGCGGGTGCAACACTTCCGTTGTCGCGTACTGCGCAGAAGAATCACAGCGCACCACATCCCGCGGCTAGCTAGCTGCCAGGGGTACGGGTGTAGCTAGCCGAGGAAAGGAAAAAGAAAAGAGCAAGGAGATGCGGAAGGCGAGCGGACGAAACCCCATGATCAGAGGAACACCCCAGAGGGCACGCAGCAGCAAACCCGAGTTGTACATACACCCCACACACAACATGGAGCTCGGGGAAAAAAACACCGGTCAACAACAAACACTGCAAAGAAAGGCAGACAAACGGAAATTCAAGGATTGGAAAGCGCTCGAGCTGCGCGAAATATAATAAGGGGCGGTTTAAGAGGATATAATCGCGATCCGGAGAGGCAGGCGGCTATTAGGCACTCACGCGTCATGTAGCTCTTGCTCCGAGGTATAACGGGCATTATTACGTTTGAGAAACTGCACGCGGAAAGCAGTTTGTACGCCCCTGCAAAGTCAAAGCCGAAAAACAACACAGCAGCAATCAAAGATTCCCATTCAAGTTCGCATCCATAAAAACACCGCGCTCAAAGTGCGCCACCGAGCTATCACTGGCAAAAGACTAACCATGCCCGCAGCACAAGAACAAACACATACACCTATACATAATACATATACATACAAGTATACATAGGTATATTATATACATAGATACAAGACACACAGACACAGACACACACAGACACAGACACACAGACACACACACACACACAAACACACACAGACACACACACACAACACATACATACATACATACATACATACATACATACACCCACACGTACAGATATACACACATACGGATATACACATACATACACACACATACATAAACACCACACAGACATACACACGTACAGATAGAGTATACAGAAACACATCCCGAGGCAACAAGCATGTACCGCGAGAAGCGTGTTGTGTGCTGCGTATGTGGATACATAGGCGCTGTGGCTCTCTGTAGCAGTGCAGCAATTGAATAAACGCTTGAACATAGCTGCGATTTTGCAGATGCATGCGATCATACATCGCAACTGGGCCCTGTGGAGGGGGGAACACTTACCTGTTTCCCTATCCACCAGCATTCTGTAGGCAGAGCCTCGCATGCGCGCACTGGCGAGTATCTCTCCAAGTCCAGGTGCAAGCTCTGCATACACTTCAGGTGTCTGGGGCTGGGTGTCTTGCGTTGAGGCCTCTGTAAAGTCGCTATCGCTACTTGCTGGATGTCGATCGATGCCTCCTGTGTGCAAGATGAAGCTCAGCTCCGGCACAAGCAACTCCTGGAAGAGCACCGCCATGCAGGCTTCCCGCTGAGAGCAGTCCGAATACTCAAAGTCAGTCGGCAGCAGCAGAATTTCAAAGAGCGACAGTCAATGCGCGCATGCACGCGGTTGCACCCATACTCACACATACATATGCATATATATATATACATGCATGTACACACATACACTCATACAAACATACACCACACAAGCATACATAACATGACAAGTAGGCCTTGGAAATGTTTCAAGACTGCGGAACGATCGCACAGCACGCAGAGAGAGCCACCCTTCAGCCTGCCCTCTCTGCTTCACGATAAACACACAGAGAGAGCACCGCCGAGGGAGAGAGAGAGAGAGAGAGGGAGAGACAGAGACAGACAGAGAGACACAGAGACAGAGACAGACAGAGAGAGAGACAGAGACAGACAGGAGCATGTGAGCGTTCTAGGTGTTGAAAGAACCGCAGGAATGTCACTGCCTTAGCGCTAAAAAGTTGCCTTGCTTCCTCCAAAAGAAGCAGCTTCTGAGGGCGCTGTCCACAAGAAAACTACCTGTGGAATGTTCGCAACTTTGCGCGCGAGCACTGCACGCCGAGAGAAAAGAGATGCCCATACAGTGCAGACGGCAGATTGTATGGCCGTTACATCGCAAACCGGAACGTTGCACACGGACTCGTACAGGCCTGCAGCAGACATCCCTGAGGATTCATACACATGCACATGCATACATATATATATATATGCATGTATGTGTATATATCCATGTATGTATACATATGTACATGTACATGTATGTATATATATTCATGTGTACATACATGCATACGCACATGCATGTACATATATATGGATGTATATATATAATATATCCACGTATATATCCATATATATATACATATACAGAGGAGTGAGAGGCACAAGGGGGGGGGGGAGGAGAGTGCGAAGCAGTTTGTACAGAAAGGCAGCGACGTGTGCTGCAGGGAAAGCGACGGAAAAGCGCAGTGCTTTAGGCAGCTCCTGATGGCTCCCTTCACCCCCCTTTCCCCCCTCGCGTTCACTTGCAGGTAACTTGAACGGCGGCAAAAGGCATGCACAAATCGCCAGAAAACGCCTCTCTCGCCAAGGGAGTCAGCATGCCCTGTTTATGAGGGATAAAGAAGAGGTTCTCTGGCGTATATGACGCAGAAGGCACGATAGCCACCATCCGTAAAAAGGAGAAAGCGCAAGGCAGCCGCTAGCAAGCCGCCGCGCGCGTTGGGCTGTATACGACGTGCGTGGAGTGGAAATTCATTCAAAATCTGAAACTGCTCGAGAGCGCATGCAACCGTGAGGCACCTCTGCCTGCTAAATCGCCACAACGCCACACAGCCTTACCGGCCAGGTCCTCCACGTTGGCAGAAGAACGGAGGCAGAGGCGTGCCTTGGGACCAAAGAAAAGTTTAACTGTTTGGTGAACGCCGTTGGGTAGCGGCAGTGTGAGGATGAGCTGCTGCATGCGACTGCACAGCTTTTCGAGTTCCTCAGCCTGAGATGTCGCGAATCCGAAGAAACCATAAGCCACACACCGCGGAGCTTGCATGCAAAGGCTTTCCACAGAGCTTTTTTCTTCCCAAACGCAGAAGTGCGCACGCAGGCATGCATGCAGAACACCCCCAAATCACACACCGCCAAGCACCTCCTATAGACACAGCAGCGACGCGACAGCAGGACGGACGTCGAAATCGGCAGCATCGAGCTCCTTGAGCAGCGCATGAAACGCTTCATGATGGCCTTCCGCATGCAAAGCCCATTCCATGGAGCCGAATGGAAGACAGAGACACCTGGAAAAAAACCGCATGACCATCGGAGAAGACAGAGCAGACGTGATCCATGGCAAACCTACATGCGAAAGATTGCTTTCCACCCACATGAGCAGCACCAAAAGACGCAGTGTCGTCAGCGGCTAGCTAGCTAGCTCTCCTGCCGCTTTCACGCTGTCTCCTGACTTATTGCATGCTTCAAAAAGCCGCTTGCACAGCCTTCCCTTACAACTCCAGAGCAGAACCTGCCACTCCCCCTGTCTCCCCGCCAAGAGCAGCCCGACACCTACTTAGGAGCTCTAAAGACAGGTTCTTCGTCTTTTTGAAGTGCTGCATCTGCTGCCGCCTCTAAGCGCGCGCAAGTTGCAGCCTTTGCACCGCAGCTAGCCAACTTTATGCGTTCAGACGGAAGCAGCTGCGGTGGCTGCGAGGACGACTCAACGTATCGGGCCGCCTGTACGAGCGATCCGAATGCAAACGAGCCGCTTCTAATGGCAAAGGTAACAAGATACACACACACATATAGAATATATATATGTAGAGAGGTATATGAATATTGAGGGGTCTATGAATATTTAGAGGTGTGTGAATATTTAGAGGTATGTAGATACTTAGAGGCATATGAATATTTAGAGGTGTGTAAATATTTAGGGGTATATATATACACATGCCTATACATAGATACATGTATATATGTATATATACATAGACATATATCTATACATACACCTATACATATACTACCTATACATATACCTGTACGTATACACGCATACACATACACACCTATACACATGACTACAGGCGAGAATCGGCAGCAGATACCACCACTAGAAATCAATCATCTGAGCTGATAAGGTCAAGTGCCATAATGTGCCGAATGGGCGCCTACACAGCGACGGACGCTGGTCGTGTTTTTTTTGCTCATTTGTCAGCGCATGCCGTGCATATATATATATATATATATGCATATATCTCTGAAGAAATGCAACGTCTAAGTGGAATCGAAATGCTCTAGACAACCACGCAAAACAGGAGCCGATGCAAGAGACGAGCAGACAGACGTGGAGACGCGAGGCAACGGCCTAGCATTTTTTACGCGCCATAGCAGAGTGTCTGTCCAGTGAGCCTTACCTGGCAAAGGGGGCTACTACAACCTCCTCGTCTTCGCTACTACGTTTCTGCCAAAGCCTAGCCTTGCGCTGTTCCTCTACAGCCGTCGCTGCGTCTGCAGCTTCAAGCGTTCGGCAGCTGAAGCTCTCCGGAAACGCAGCCACTTCCACCCACTGGCCGTCCAGAGCACAGAAGAAGTCAAAGGCAGTCGAGTCTTGGCAAGCAACGAAAGGAAGCCGCTGCTGCCGAGCTCGCACACCTAAAGCCGCATGACGAGGAGGCGAATACACAAATGCACACACAAATACACAAAAATACACAGACTATATACAAATACACATAATGCACACAAACACACACAAATGTACATAATGCACATAATACAAACAAATACACATAATACACACAAGTACACATAATACACACAGATACACATACAAATACGCAATTATACACATACAAATACGCAATTATACACATAAATACACATAATACACATAGATACACATAATACACACATACTACACACCAATACACACATACTACACACAAATACACATAAAACACACAAATACACATAAAACGCACAAATACACATTCAGCATACATACAAAAGCACACACGCGTCAGAACCCTTTATGTGGCTTTTTGAGGGCGTCTCACATCTACATTTAGACACTTTCCCCTTCACGAGAGGCACAAGAAAGGAAGAAACATGCTTAGCCTAAGGGACCACCAAGCGCCTTCCACAGCATCAAAGCAACGCAGAGATGCCACAACACAACAGGAAACACTTCCCGTGGAGGCCAAAGCAACGCCTTCTGCACCTTGCTCTCATTATATCTATATGTATATACATACATCCATTGCTATCTTTCTCACGAGATACATACATACATCCATTGCTATCTTTCTCACGAGATACATGCATACATCCATTGCTATCTTTCCCACAAAACACATACATACATCCATTGCTATCTTTCCCACGAAACACATGCATACACCCATTGCTATCTTTCCCACGAAACACATGCATACACCCATTACTCTCTTTCTCACGAACACACACATATATCCGCTGCTATCTTTCTCTCTCTATCTCCCAAAAGACAGCAGAAGAAGGAAGAGGGGCGCATGCACCATTGTGCATGCGTAAGAGAGAGAGTACGAGCTCGAGTTTCCTACAAGACGACTGACTGCATCTATGACATGCGTTTTTGCACCACCCCTAGATGCACAAACTCAAGAGGTCCCCGAACACACATGCCACAGACCCTCCCCTTGTCGCGCTTTCAGGCTTTTTCGATGAAATCGTCTCGACTTTTCGAGCGAAACAGACGTAGTGGCAGCCGTACCTAGATGGCTAAGAATGGGAATGTCGTGGCCAATCACAACTCCTGCAGCGCAGGTTCCTCCGCAGTCAATGCCAGCCACCTCTTCATCTCCAGATGCAGTCCTTGCGCAAACAAGAAGCGGCTTGTATGGTGCATCTTCTGAGGTGTTTGCTTTCGAGCAGTTCGACGTTCGTTGGCTGGTGTTGAGGAGCAGTGCCGAGGCAGCAGCGCTGAGAGTCTCGAAGACGGCGACGGAGCCAACGAAGCAGCCCGCGACGAGCACGTCATACGGCTGCTGATGGAGATGCTGCCTCAGACTGCGCAGCAAAACGTGGGAAACCTTGGAAAGCTGGAAGACGACATTGCTGCGAATCCTGCCTTCAGCATAAACGGCTCGGTACAGCGGATCAACGCCTAACAAGCCTCCCAAAAGCTCGACTCTGTGCGCGAAAACGGCAAGCAACACATCCGTGATGTCTTGACAGAGGCGTCTCGTTCGATCCACCGTGGCTTTCAGCAGCAACAAGGCCTCGTCATCCTCCAAGTCGCCTCGCGCGTGACTCTGCAGCTCCTAAGGCACGTCAACAAAACAAAAAAATGCTTCGCACCAATTCAGGAAGCAGCGCACACCTCAAAAAGTGGGGGCAGAAGGGGAAGAAGGACTCTCAAGACAGATAAGAGTGAGAAAGATATACGCATACGTATATATATAGATAGATAGATAGTTTTTAGATATATATGTATAGATAAATAGAGTGAGAAAGAGATACATGCATATACATATATATATATATATGTAGACAGTCAGCTAGAGAAATAGAGATGGATAGAGATGAATAGAGAGACAGACGAAAAGGTCAGTCCCCCGGATTCCTTTAAACACTGGCTCTACATCACCAAGGCAACAAAAGTAAGCGTTCACAACAGCCACCGCTGATGTGGCAGCCATGACGAGAGAATGAGCGCCTCTCTTGTAGTGCGCTTTCCACACGAACTCCCCGATGCAGCGGCAACAAGAAATCGTCTCGTGACACATACATCCACCAGCCAGAAGTGACCCCCCGTAGATGTGGCGTAGCCAGCCGCAACTCCTCAAACATACAACCACTAGAAAAATAGAATACGACAGTCTGCGATCGCAGTAGCTGGACGTACTCGTTGAATAGCGCGACATTCTTCTGCTCTGACACCCGAGGCTTCAATGTTGCGTGCCCCCAAATACAGCGCCTGAGCACAAGACAAAGTGTGGAATCGCACATACATAAATCTGCATACATAATTCCATACATTAACACAAATACACACACACATATATGTATACGCTGAAAACCCCTTCACCTTCCAACAAATTCTCTGCACTTGACAAAGTACATGCGGCTTTGGAGGCTTCGAAGGATTGCCTCAGCTCGCAACCTCCCTCCCCTAACACAAGGTCAGAGCAGCACTGCACCTCGTCCTACAGCAAGAGAGAGATAAAGAGAGCGAGCGTGGCACCAGTGCAGCACGAAAAGACAGCAACTCTGGCAGGCAATTACCGAGAAGGAGGAACAGAGAGACACGAAAAAAAAAAAAAAAAAGGTTACGAGAGAACTTCTTCCCCCTCCCCATACACACACAGAGAGATATGTGTATTTATAAAAGACAGAAATACGGTAGATACAGTCCCGATTTCTCCACCAGCATACTACAGAAGGCCACCAGATAGATTCTGAACCTCCACGCAGAAAGTCGCCGGAGATAAAAATGCGACACAGTCCAGCTCTCTCTCTCTTCTTCCCTCTCTCCATTTTTCTTCCTTTTCCCCCTCCCCACCGCCTCCCGCACATACATGTATTTACATATATATGTATTTATACTGTAAGTTTTTTTGAACGCACTTCTATAGCATCGGTCCATCGAAAGCCTGTCTCTTGTTCCTCGAAGGAATTCACCAAGCGACTCAGCAAGACGAATGCTGCATCTTCGAGTTGTAACTCAGCCATCCGCCTGGACCGTAAGCGCATGCACAGAGGGCAGCAGGCGCGTGTAGCACCACCCAATACACGCATATGCATATATACATACACATACATACATATACACACACACACACACATGCTGGCAGCGCACCGTATTTTTAGCGGCCACGCTTTCTGGCGTTAAAGCTTTCCTCAAGAATGCAGCAGAAAGGGTCTCTTGAAGCAAGGCGCAAGTATTTATGGCACAGAAGAGAGCGTTAGGCTGCTGATAGTTGTCTCTCTCTCTGTCTGTCTGTCTCTCTCTCTCTCTCTGTCTGTCTCTCTCTGTCTGTCTGTCTCTCTCTCTCTGGATGCCCTCGTGCAAGCAACAACAGTGTCTCACTCACTTGTTTTGTGTGTGTTGCATTTCTCCCTCGGGAACCTGCCCGGCATCTCTGAGCTGGAGCGTAAGAACAATGCGGAGATCCGTTGCGAGCCCTAAGGTGAGCAGGAGTTTTGTTGGAGATGCGCCTGGAGCATCGCTTCGTGCTTTAGCGTCCAGATACCTGTCAATCGCTTCTGCAGTGCGAGGAGACTCCCCTGCCCGCAGCTCCCGCAGTCTCTGACAGAGATCGGCTTGATTGAAGAAGGCGCACAGTTCCCCGTAGAAAGTCTCCAGCTCCGAGACGAATCCCACGGAGTAGCGACTCCTGTCTGCTTGGATCCGCTGCAAAAGATTGCGCGTTGTTTCCAAATCTTCGGGGCCTGCGCAGCGGTGCAACTTGTTTTGAATCGTGTGTTTGATCTCGTTCTTCAAATCCATCGGAATGTCGTCCCTATGCGCAATGTTGCGGATGCGGGTAAGAGGCTGCGCGGCTCGAAAGGCATCCGCGAAAGAAGGCAACGCCGGCGGGATGGACCGAATGACTAGCCGGAGAGCTGAAGCGAGATCGTCTCCTCGTGAGCCTACTGCCTGCAGCAGCAGCTCCAGGTGTACAGACACGTCTCTCGACAGATTCGCATGCCGATTGGGCCTGAAATGGCGGCCGTCCTCTTGGCAGCTAACGGCTCCTTGGCGCACAAACTCGGTGTAGATTCCCGCATAACACAAGGCGTCGATTGCAGCGACGAGCTGCTCGGGGGAGGCTCTCGCGAGGCTTATTCCGTCGCCTGCCGCTGCAACAGTGCGCTTCACCAACTCCAACTTTGCCCCCCAAGAAGGCGCAGAGGCGTTGCCTTCAGCGAGCGCCTTCAGAGCTCTGCTCGTGCCGGAAGGCGAGGAGGCAGCAGGGGGCCCCCCTGGGCCCAACAGCTGCGTGCAACTGGGGGAGGGGGGCCCCTCGGGGGCGGCGCACAGGGAAGAGGGGCCCCCCCCTCCCCCGGATACGGATTGCGGCGAAAGATCGACTCCCGAAGCAAGACGCTTCAAAGACGAGGAAAAGGACTCCCTGCTCCTGCCCATCCACGTTGCCTCGTGTTGCTGCTGCTGCTGCTGTGTCTTGGCAGGTGCTGGAGACGACGGCGCCAGGGGAATTTCTTCATGCGCCTCCTCCCCAAAGGAAGCCCTGTAACGCACTCCCGAAGAGAAGCCTCTCTGCAGCAAGCGTCTGTTGCACGGCAGCTGCTCCCAGATGACTGCCGACCCCTCGAGGTCGCCCACCAGGAATTTGAACTCCACGGGAGCATCGGGGGCCCCCTGGGGGCCCCCCCTTCCCGCGGGTTCGCTGAGCCACACATCTCCAGACGACCAGACGGGGAAGGAGGACGCAGAGGTCTGCAGCTTGACGGCGCGACTGACATCCCACGCGCCGAGCTGGCTAGCCGAACCCACGACAGCTAGCCACTGCCCCGGAACCGTCCAGCCGCAGCGGCACTCGAACACCACCAGCATCCGTCCTACCATGATGCAAGAGAGGAGGCAAATCGACCGCTCGGGGAGACGCGCACAGAGAGGAGCAGCGCGCACTGGGGGTTAGCTGCTCTGCAAAGAAGCGGGAATGACACTGTGGGGATGATGTGAAAAAATGCAAAGACGGCTAGCGATTTCTGACACTGCACCTACTGCTGCTGCTGCGCCCCTCGAAAGCGTCGGCATCAGATGCTGCCGCCGAAGGAAGGAGCCTGAGCAAAGGGGAGGAGGGTTGTCGTGGCGGATCGACGACAACAGATCGGAAAGCGAGGAAAAAAGCGCCGGAAGTCTCGCTGGCGGTCAAAGCCAGTGGCGCACCAGAGTTCCCGAAGGCCAGACGTCTCAGGATGAGATGTCTTCATATATTCATGCGCTATTTAGAGCTGCAAAGCAGCAGCAGTGTGCCTGGGGGGCCCCCAAAACAGAGGAGCAGCACCAAGGGGCCCTCCGACAGGCACGCAGGGCCCCGCCACACAAAAGGTTCTCGTGCAGCGTAAGGAATCGCAGAAAGAGTGAAAACAGTCGTTCCTGATTCAATACGACTCAAGAGGCGAAAACGAGGTTCAGCGCTGCGATGTGTGTCTGGGGCGTCTCTACAGCTGCGGCGCTTGTCGGTTCTGTGGCCTACAGGGAGCACGACCAGAGGATTTCGAGAGGCCTGTAGCCTGCGAAGCGTGAGAAATCTCGAATTTATCGCGACTTGCACACGAAAGCAGAAGGAGGAAGGACTAGCAACTTGGTCTGCCGGCGGCAGCTAAAGCCCCAGACTCTGCTCTCTGTCACACAACATGTGTGGAAGGAAGGCCGTTGCGCTCCTAGCGCTGTCGCCATAGTCGAGCAGCACAACTTTCTTTCTATTCCAAGCGCCGGTACCTCATTGGGCAACCATGCATCGGAGAAATTCACGCGCTGGGAACCTTTGTATGCCGCTCTCCCGATCATTTATGCTCGGCACAAGATCCCGTGACGTGCCGAGAAGCCCTTGTTCTATCGCAACAATGACTTGAAACAGCTTTAAATTCGATTACAATGTACAAGTAAAGTCAATCAGAGGATATCATACGCTCCAAAAATGGGTTTTGCTAGATGGTATAGTGCATTTTCGGGGTACATATATATACAAGAGTGCCCACAGAGCACTGGCTGGCCATTCGATACTTGAACTAGGCTATGTCCGCCTACCGTGCCCGGCATACAATTCAAGGGGGCATGGAGCGAGAAAATCGGGATTTAGCTATGGAGGTTCGAGAAGCAGCCGATATGCAGTTTGATAGCGGGCACAGCTGCGTGTACGTGTAGAGCGTGAAGCTACGCTTGAACACTTTTCACTGCACCAGTTATAGCTTGCTAAGAATAAGGGGACAACTATTCACTCAGCTTGCCTGTTCGTATGGCCGCTATCGCACAGTAGCTTTTACTCGATACAAGACAACACAATGTGTGTGTGTGTGTGTGTGTGTGTGTGTGTGTGTGTGTGTGTGTGTTTGCCCTAGATGCCCCGTTCAGCTAGCTGTGAATAAATAGAGTATTTAGAGTGTACACATACGCGTACTGTAGCTGCTCCCATCCCCCATGTCGGAACTGTGGAGGGGGGCGCGGACAAAGGAAGACGAAAGTTCTTTTTTAGTAAGCTCAAAAAAAATGTATAGAGTCAGTATTGAGTCCGGATTTCAGTATCTCTACTGAGATATTATCTAAAGTGCGACGCAAAATTACCGCAGAAAAGTGCCAGGGGTGGACTTGATCTCTTGTTCTGCGTCATGATGGTTCGCAGTTGTAGGCCAGTCTTAAGGCACCGCAGGACGCACAATAGAACTTCGGATTCCTGTCAGTAATGGCACACCTGCGAAATTCGGCAAGCTTCGAGCCATGAGCAACACTTAATTAAGTAGCTCTCTCATCCTTAAAGAGCTCCGTTCGATGCCCTCCCTACGGCTAACTCCAATACATTGCGGGTAGACCTGAGATAAACCACTGGGAAAGCCCCGATTCGTCTACGGGGTGGCCTTTGAAGACGAAAAGTTCATAATATTCAATGCTTTGAGCCTTTTATAGATTCGCTTTCGTCACTTTTATCGATTCCCCCCAAGCCTGAGATTCAGCTGCTTTCGGCATAAACCGATGAGTCAGCGCTTGCATGGTGGCTTATACTTAGTTATCTCTTCAGGCGGAAGATTTCCTTTACAAAAGTAAGCCCAACATTAAAAGGCTTGTTACATCAATAGACATGCCGCCAGCAATCGCTTCTCCTCATCTGCAGCGCACAAAAGGAAGCTCCATCGCCAACTGGCTGATTTACCTGGAAGCGCTGGCCAATTCCACGCCTATCATACTTGCCTGCTTGTAATATCCTGATAAACGCATTTACGAAAGTTTTCAGCAGACAAGCCATGCCGACCTACCAGATGTGGAGCTACTGGATTTGCAGTTTGAAAGCCGGCCAGCTATGCCCCAACAGGTGTTGTGCCACAGTCCAAGACCATCACCCAAGAGCCCTTATCCCCAACCCGTTGTCAACGAAAACCAAGCTTTTGAGCCTCCACACATATAAGTCCAAAACATGTAGTTGTTGTAGGAAAGGCTGACATCCCACTGCATCTACAGTCAGTGGAAGAGCGGGGACTAGCCGCACCGAACCATAAGGTGCTGCCGACTGTAGCGCCACATGCAGACACGTAAATGTAGGTTGAATACCGATTTGAGAGGAAGTCATTGCTCATACTTCAAAAGAATTCCAGTATCCTTCTCTCACTTCTTCCTCAAAGCTCCGACAAGAGACGAAAGGGTTAGCTAGGGTGTGCGTCGCTGAGCATTCCGTACAATCCAATAACTCACAGCTAGCTGCACGTGGCATCTAGGGCTCATGCATGCAACATTGCGTCTTTTGTTACGCTAGGGGTACTCTGCAGTAATCAGGACATACAAACAAACAGATTAGTCAAGCCTTTCGTGGCTAATTCTTAGCAAGTAGTCTAGTAAGAAGACTCTAGTCGTTCCTTCGCCCCGGTACAAGCACTGTCCTCGCCTTCATACGATGCACGCTGCTGAATATTTGGGATTAGGTACGGGCATTTTTAAGCAGCACGTCTGGGAAACAGTTTTCTACTAGCCTCCATAGATTGGACGGCAAAGGCTAATTATTTGTAGTCCTTAAATTTTCCCTTAGGCGCTGCTACAAAGGAGAGATGCAATCACAAGCCCCTGAATTGTGCCCTGCTGGGCGTGCTCTGAAGCATGCACTGCCATCTGGCAGTCCTGTAATTAGCTAGATCTGGCCACATGGCTGCTTTCTACGTACGTGCATGGCGCGTTTCAGATGTGTACCGATTGCCCTTATCGATGTAAAGAGGTAACGCACCCTTTTGTACATTATCCAGCACATACCCCTTTAAAATAGCCATCAAACACAAGATTTGGATGCTGTAGGATGCGTGCTTGAAGTCCCGATGTACGCCACTAGGGGCCCACCTGTACCTCAGAAGCCATCTGCAGTCGCAGTAAGTGGTTCTCGCTGGTTATTATTGTTTCAAAATGCCACGACATTCGCAAAGCACGGGCACGAAAACTCCACCACACTATGAAATATCTCCTGTTTTGCGTGGATTTAAATAATGACGCTGCCCTTATTGTTCAACCTGAAGCTCTTGTGCACGGAGGCGCTCTCTATCTGACAGGTGCAAGTTCGACATACTTTAGCAAAGAACCACTAGCATCTCCGTATAAAGTGGAACATACGATGGAAATCGCACATAATGCCACCGTCACAGAAGAGCCGTTCTGAGATGCATACGGGTGGTTTTGGCGGAGGCGCAGCTCCCTAAGATTCGCTCTCTGCTTCAGTACGAACTCGAAGGTACTCCGTCTTCGTACTGCAGAGACAGCGCACGCGTTCTCATGACTCGCCCTTGTCCAAAAGCCTCCCTTTTAATGGATATAAATTTGCTAGCTGTATGTTCTTTGTAATTTCATGTGTTCAACGTTGTTATGCTTCGCTAGGCTCGTCGGCTACGGGTTCAACAGGCAGGGGCTGGGCTGATCGGGGCTGTTGTATGCTGTCTCGTGGGGTTTGTTCAGCGCTTTATGGACCTTAATACTTGAAATGTCCTTGTTAATCACGTAAACGTATTTAAGTGACTTTGTTGTGGGATTCTTAAGGTGTATTTCTGGCGGAAGACCGGACATTTGCACTGTTCCGTGCGACCGCGCCAGATCGGGTAGGGAAACAAACCTGATCTCCAAAGGGTTTCAACGGAGCTATACATCGGTCTAAAACAGAATAGGAGATCATTGCCAAGTTTTTAATCTTCCGCTGGGTAAAGGGGGATACTCACACTTAGGACCATCCCAATGTGTTCCTCATCGGTGGGGTTTAGAAATCTCCCGCAGTGTTGATGCTCTACCCGCCTTCTTCGTCATCAAAACATCTTCCAAAAGCTAGGCTTAAAAATATCAGCCGCCTTAGTTGCTCGGCGAGTTTGCGTTTGCCTCTGTCGTGCTCAAGGAACGCCTTTTCTAACTCTCGACACTTGGTTTGCTCGGGGCCTCTCACTCTCCCCTTTCCTGTAAGAGAGAGCGATGCGGATGGCGTGGTGCAATGGCTCTGGCTGAAGTCTGGGACGGCTCGGCGCGAGGAAACCACAGAAACCCACGCCGTCAGGCTTATGCAGTGTCTTTCCTTGACCTTTTTTGAAATATGGAACAAGAGCAACCCTGAGAAAAGCGCAATGCCATGGACGAAGTGCCGACCTTGCTCTATGAGTTCGCGTCTTAAGCTACCGCCCTGAGCGAGCAGAGGACTCTCTGTCACTCCCCTGGAGAAGCACGAGCGGCACAGAAGAATGCCGAGAGCAGTGCAGAGCTCTAGAAGTGTGACCTCTATCATGTGCGGACTTACAGGGCTCCTTCCCGCTTTTTTGTGCTTGCCGTTGATGAAAATAATCTTCGATGGTGGGTAAACGTACGAATCGCTGCCGTGAAAACTTTCCTCGACTGCATCTGCACGCGTAGCTACGCCCCCTCATGAGGTCTCCCCCAAAGCGTTCACCCTTTGGCCCGTTTAGTTTAGTTGTCTGGCATGGCTACATGCATGCATGCATGCATGCGCATATGACTGAAGGTTTTGCTTTTGCCTGTATTCCCGGTTCGTTTACAGCTGCAGGCTCGCAAGCAGCGCCGCCCGCCTCTGCTGTCGATAGCGCTTCATATTTCTTTTCTTTTGAGGCTTTTGACACGGGAAGTGTGCCTTTGTGCGAATGCACGGGGATCAAAGTCAAGGAGTTTCAGTCCGGCGGTCAGTGCGACTTGGGGTTTTCGGTGGGGTTCTCCAAATTCTGCTTCATCCCGCCGTCTCACTGCGCTACCGTGAATCCAATGGAGAGTGCAACAGTCCCTGCTGACGCGTGGTGGGGAGCCGCCAAGACGGGGGAAGAGAGGAGCAACATCGAGAAGGTGGCTAAACTCCTTGAGCAGGCACCTCAGCCAGCGCAAGCGCCTGCGTGCCACTGCTGGACCCTCGGAGACTTCATGGTGGCACCCTGCGCTCACCAAGGGTACTCCCGGGGTGGGAACAGCCCTCCTCGCTTCGTTGCCTCTCTCGAAGACTTGTCTCTAGAGAGTCTTTGGGAAGCGCATGATGGCATCCTGCATGCAGAAAGGCAAGCCTCAGAGGTGCAGGACGCAATCCAGCCGCCCTCTCGCATGCAAGCGAACGGTGCTGCGACTAACCACCTGCAGAAGGACCAGACACACGAACTCGGTCGGGAACTGCAGTCCCCATGGGCCCCACAGCAGCAGCAGCACTTTAGGGAAAGAAAGTTATTACGCCAAGAAGGCGTTGAAGTGGCTGCAAACGGCGGAGGGGGGAAGGGCGGCAGCAGCTCTGGCGACGCTGCATTCGCTGCAGCAGCTGGTGAGGGAGGGCCTCATTGCCACAGGAGCTGTGCCGGCTGTCTAGACTCTGGGCGTGACCGCTGCCTTTCTTGCGTTAATCAGCTTCCCTACCCTTACATCCCTCCCCCCACTCCCCAGTTGCCTTTAGACTCCGCCGGTGCGCGTGAGGAGGCCCCCGACAGCGGGGGCCCCCCTCTCGCTCCTGCGCCGCAGTATCACGCACTTGTAGCGGTCCACCAAGACGGCAGTGGATACTGCATCCCCTTGGCGTTCGCTAGTGACGCATCTGCAGATCCAGGCGACGCCTGCATGCGTCCCAGCTCGGCGTGCACGACAGCGGACGGCGAGGGCTCCGGGTGGAACGGCTACTTCGATTGGCTTTCCACTGCCAACGCCGCAAACAGCAGCAGGCACACTCGCGACAGACACTGCCACCCCTCATGCGCCGTCTGCCGGGCAGACTGCTGCACGGAGAAGTCTGATAACTGCCTGTCTTGCAAGGGGAAGCGTTGGGCATTTCACCCAATCTACAGGGATGGAACTGGGCATTGCGTAGACCTTCGCCCTCTCGAGAGTCAAGAGGATCTCGTTCCTCGGGAGGGAGAGGAAGAAACAGCCGAGGCAGTACAGGGGGCCTCTGCGGGAGTCTTTGAAAAGGAACACTCCTTAGGAGTCCAATCGCCAGAAACAAGCACCTTTGCTGCTATATTCCAGTCTGTTCTCAGCAGTATTTTTTCTGTACCTAATGTGTCAGACGCAGCAAACGCTGCAGAACATGCGTCCTCTCCGAAGGCAGGCAGTAGTCGGAAGGGTCCTTCCTTTCTGCCAGACCGCTCAGTGTGTGAATTTTTGCCACGAAAAATCCAGGATCTGCCTCTCCGTGCGTGGTCCCAGCTCGTCTTTGTGCATGCAGACAACAACCTTGAAGAGTCTGCGCTTCTGGATATGGAGGAAATGCTGCATCCGTGGAGAGGCGAAATAGTGAATAGACAAGCCCGAACGGCTGCAAGGGGGCCGGGAACATCCTCTTTCCCGGTAGGCGGCTCTGCACTCCCCGGATCAGTGGGTCAGGAGGCCCTTGAAGACTTGTACTTGGTGGTACTGATTGACAGGAGCAACCAGTCAACGACCACCGACATGAATACCGTCCACGCGTGCCCCGAGCTGGAGTACTCCTCACTAGGCGAAGGAGTCAAGCAACTCCCAGGATCGAGCGAAGTCGAACTGAGCGCACAAATGGCGTTTGAGCTGCTCCGTATCCACCTTCGAAACGGACGCCGTGAATGGCTCCTTCTCCGCAGTCTTGGAGAGGTGTATCGTAGACACGCGGTCCCGCGCATGCGCGTCTTCCTCGTACAATTAGTTCTCAAAATATTAAACACAACAATATATGCCACACGTTCAGTTCATGTCTGCACACAGCAGTCTGAGAACCGGCAACTTTCATTGAGCAACAGAGAGGCGAATCTGTACTGATGTTGAATGCAAGAACGTATCCAAAAATGGGTCCTGAGCAATATAATAATATACACCTTTGGCATTACGTCAAGATACCATCTGGCTTTCCTGCGGAACTTTGAGAGGAGAGCCATAGCGCCTATACAGCTTGCGTGATTGCTGTTTCGCTATCTCATTTTCCATGATGGTTTTGACCTCTGTTCTTTTTTACATTGCGCCTCCTTCCTGTGCATTTAGCACTGCTTTATGTCACAGAAGTGTGTTGGATAAGTGCCCAATCGCGTAAAGTCTTCTGGCTTTCACGAAGTTGATTTAGAAGTGAATGATGCCTCGCACTTGGGAACGCTATGCTGAGCACTATTTCCGTTTGTCCTTCGTAGGTAGACATGAACGATCCGTCAGTATTGGAGAATGCAGTAACGCGCTTGTTGGATATATTTCCCTCACGGCACTACGCTGCGATTCTTTGGAATCATGGCTCTGCGTGGGTCGGCTTTGGAGATGACGACAGCAATCCGAACAGCCAGCCCATGAGCATTCATGAAATAGCGCTTGGCCTAAAGAAGTAGGTGCTGCTTTTCCGTTTCCAATGCTTCGTGATGAATAGATGGGTTCTTGAGATGTTCACGTTGCTACACAGGTGGGTGTCCAATTCGTCTGTTTCTGACATTCAGCGGCATTGCGTCCAGCAAGCTGGGGAAAGTGGATCGCTCTTTTCGCTTATCGCTGCTCGGGTTTGATGCCTGTCTCATGGGCTCCTACGATGTCTTAGAGACCCTCGCTCCCCTGACGCACTTTTTCATTGCGAGCGAGGATAACGAACCCGGACATGGTTGGAACTACAGGCACGTGATTTGCACTGATCTTCCCCGGTTATGCACTCCCTGGAGTTTCATGGTGCTGTGTGTCATTATGAATGCCTCGTCATACGCTCAAAGCGGCTTTGGGAGAATGCACAATGCTAACGTATACAACTGCAAATGCCGCGAACCAGTCGTACCGTACAATATGCCCGTGGCGACCTGTACACGCAAAAGTTGAGAACTGCATTTTAGGGGTTTCATCCATGAAGCTCTCACCACGCCAAAGCGAAAACGGCTAGCTGGCGCCGTGAAGGCATGCGTTTCAAAGTTTCTCGTGCTTCAAAACATGGGGTGTGCGTTCATCAGATCAATGGACCCAACAACTCTGACCCGCAAACCGCCCCCACCCTACAGGGTGGCTACAGCGTTTGAGTACGGCACGCGATTCGTTACCAGTTACGGACTGCACCCCCCGTCCTCGAATGCACTGACTCTGGCGCTCATTGAGGTGCGCGGTTTCAACGAATTCAAGCAAAAATTCGAAGAACTTCTAGAGGTAGGGGGCTAAGCGGTGGAAGCATTTCATGATGCTGGCGGGCCGGGGGTAGGGCAACTGTGAAGGCACAAGGGAATCTCCAGAGCCAGCATTCGTACTGACTACTTCAAGGCTAAAGGGGAAATGAAGATACATGTACTCCTGCAGCGTCTTAGAGTGGCTTAAACTGCTGAACAGCTAAAGGCAACGCAACGGTGCCGCATTTACGCCTCTCAGAAAACAGCCGTTTTTCGTTTAGTTGGAGGTGGCTGCATCCTCCTCTTTGCACTTTGTGTGTAGCTTGCAAAAGACAAAACTTTTGTCCACTACATGGACGGAAGTGCATGCATGCATGCAAGTACAGTTAGATTAGCACTCTTAAAATTTCATGATGGCGTAAGGAGTTGCTTTCCAGCGTTTCAGAAAGGTGGCGGGTGGTGAAACGGCGGAGGCTCAGGCACAGTACTCTTGGCTTCTGCCGCGCCAGGCGTGCTTGGAGAGGCCTCTTTTTGTCTTATCTGTGCTTTATGCCTCGTCCTGATTAGGGTCTGTATTCATGCGGAGGGAGTAACATAACGCGCCGCGTGAGACGGGCGCTTGCGCAGACGTTCAGCATTCGGGGGTGCCGCATGTTGGGCCTCTGCAGCTGCTACGACTTGAACGATTTCCTAGCCAACCTCCTGCAGCAGTTTGCCAGCGATCAGAGCGAACTAGGGAGGACGGATGTGCAGCCTTACATGCATGAACACGAAGCCAGAGGGGTTCAAAGCGCCAGCGCGATGGAAGCGTTGCTGCGCTTTCCGGGGACGGATGGTCCCCAGCCAACACAGCCAGGCCTGCACACATACACCATAGACAGTATTGGAGCTGCACGCAGAGCACTAACCGAAAAAGTCATTGCAGCAAGAGTCCTCTTCAGGAAAATGATCGTGGCAGAGGTCGGCAGCAGGGAACCTGGCAGATACGGCGGATTGAGCATTTACTTCCCTGACCCGAACATGGCAGTAAGTCTCGACTCCACGGAGAGAAACGTGGCAGGCGTGCGCGTGTGGAGGTGTTTCAAAACTTTGCCGATCAGTGCAGTTGTCACCACACTCCTACCCCGCTAAAGCATGCACGCGCACCTCGCCCTCCTTACTGCCTGGTATCACTGTTGCATGATGGGGAGTGCGGCTTCCTTTGCACTGCCCTCCCCGCCCCCACCCGTTCAAGTGCCACGGAGTACCTTGCGCTGCTTCTGCTTCAAATGCCACACGAACTGCAATCCGCCTTCTCCCTTCAAATGCCACACGAATTGCAATCCGCCTTCTCTCCTCAAATGCCACACGAATTGCAGTCCACCTTCTCTCTTCAAATGCCACACGAATTGCAATCCGCCTTCTCTCTTCAAATGCCACACGAATTGCAATCCGCCTTCTCCCTTCAAATGCCACACGAATTGCAATCCGCCTTCTCCCTTCAAATGCCACACGAATTGCAATCCACCTTCTCCCTTCAAATGCCGCACGAATTACAATCCACCTTCTCCCTTCAAATGCCACACGAATTGCAATCCGCCTTCTCTCTTCAAATGCCACACAAATTGCAGTCCACCTTCTCTCTTCAAATGCCACACAAATTACAATCCGCCTTCTCCCTTCAAATGCCACACGAATTGCAATCCGCCTTCTCCCTTCAAATACCACACGAATTGCAATCCGCCTTCTCCCTTCGAATGCCACACGAATTGCAATCCGCCTTCCACCTCCGGTGCCGGCTGCTTGCTTTGGGGCCTTGTCGCTGAGTCTCTCGAAAGTTGCAGTCTCTGTTCAGTCCGTGTGGAGACGCTTTCTTGTGCTGCCTGCGCCTTTAGGTGACGTGCAAGGCACAAAGAAGTGCAGCTAGTTGGGCGCGTCGGTATACCCATTTGATTCGCACAAAGTTTTCTTCCTTTGTTGTGTCGGTCCTGTCGAATCGAAAGGGCAGCGTGTGCTACGCGCCGTGGGGAAGCGCTGGCGAACCTGGAAGTTCCTTTCCCAGCTCTTTGCCTGAAGCAGATTCGGAGGCAGAGCAATGGTTTGGCATACTCTGCAGCAGACTCGTCCAGCCCTTCTCGAACGAGCACTCAGACGCTGCCGTCGGGATATCCGCTGTTCTCCCTTCCACAGTGGTGTCAGCCCTTATGTTCAGAGGTATGGCATTTACCGTCTCGGCCGCTACAGCGCGCTAACACCGCTCCTGCAGGCTGCCTGATGATGCATCGCAGTAGCGTCCCCTGCCTCCGCCCCTGAAATGCAAATTCGCTGCACCTGCATGCACTCACTCTCCTGTTTTGCCCGCTGATGAGGAGCTGCTAGGCAGACCAGCCCACCCCCTAAGAGGCCCACTGATTTGCGCTTCCTCCGACGCTGCGTGTGGGGAGCAGCCTGCCGCGAACTACCGAGGCGTGTGTTTGCTGTGCCTACTGCGCATGGAGAACAACAACGGCGCTCCCTCTAGACAGGCTGACGCATGCACGCTTAGCTCCCTAAAGCCTGCAGCCCGTACTGTTTCCCCGTTTGATGCGGCACGCAGGCTTTGCGACTGAAGCGGCGATTCCAGGGGGGGGGAAGAAGGCAACCGAAATCATTGTAACAAGCACTGTGCAGGCTACAATGACGGATGCGGAGGTTAAAGGGCCGCTGGCATTTGCGCATGCCGCTACGCCTTCTGCGGAGTCGCAGGGGGGGGGAAGCAACGCAGCTTCGACATCCCCCCCCAGCAGCACAGCGCAGCCTTCCCCTGCGGCAAAGCTGCGCAATTTCACAGTCGTTCAGGGGTGGTGGAGTTCCCACGTGTGGACGCTGAGGCAGCAGCTGCATCTTGACGATCCTTTGAAGGACCCTCGACTCGAGAGCTCCCACGCCAGCCGCTCAGGAAACCCCGAAACTTCCACGATGGAAGCGCTCTTGGTTGCCTTGCAAGATGGTCTTGCATCGTCGAGAGCCGGATCGGGGAAGGTGAGGAAAAGCACGCAGAGTTCGAGCCGCGTCGTCGAATGCAGCAGTTCTCAGAGAGTCTCTCCAAGCTCTGTAGTCGTTCCTTCACAAAAAGGCTTGCTTCTAAGGGCCGAGGCAGCACCGGCAGCAGGCCTGTGGTGTCTTTACAGCGCATGTTTTTGAATTTTTTGCTATAGAGCCCGTAGACGCACTTCGATGGCTGCCGCAGCCCACGCCCACCGTGCACGCTGTTTACAAGCTCTGTGATGCGTGCTTGGCAGGAAACGACATTCAGCTTTCCCTTTCTGTTCTTCGCAAACGCCGTGGAAGCCGAGTGCCTGGAAGATGGGGTGTTGCACACGGAGGATCTGAGGGGGGGGCAGAGTGCTCTTGGCAGGCGGGGTGCTCCGTCTGGAGGGATTGCAGGGGAGTTTTCCTCAGTCCTGCCCACGCGCAAGCTGCAGGCAGTCGAAGACAAGGCTGCAGCTTCAGACTCTGTCTTCTTCAGCGTGGCTTCAGACGCAGCGCATGTTGGTGGCAGGCGTGTCTTATCGTCAACGGTGCTGCTTCCACTGAGGGAGACTACGGAGAGCTTCGAGAACGACCTTGGCGATGGGTTTCGTCCTGCCTCGAGTGCAGCAGCAGCAACAGAACTTGGACTGCTGAACAGTCTCGCACATACTGCCCGCAGGCTGACTGAGCCTCCAGACGAGGCACAGAGGGAAGCGCGTCTCCCTGGCACTGCCTCCCCTGCCCGCCGCCTCTTTACCGCGAGAGCAGGCACCTCGCCTTGGCTTCTCCATGAGCGTCTTGGTCCTCAGCCTAAGAGGCCTCGTGATGTGAACTCCCAATGTGGCATGCGCGCATTTCTCTTGACTGAATGGAATTCCAAGACAAACGCTGCTTCTGAACCTGTAGGTGTTCAACACCCGCGGCTGTAGCTCTGCGTGGCGGGCAGTCGCACACAACCTCTGGCTTCCCAACAATATACGCCACTAATATAGGCGTTAAATTGTGTTGACAAGGGCGGCCGACTGACGGCGGGGGTGCAGAGGGGGAGAGCAGGGAGGGAGGAAAAGAATCCGACTGAAAACGCAAATACGGGCAGCTAGGAGTGTCGCGGAAGGGGGAAAAGGTGCAGGCAGGTTGCTCGACGGCTTCATTTGAAGCTTCATTTGAAGCTTCACGCCGCACGCCGAAATCAGCGCTTGCCTTTTTAATCAATGCTTCTCTTGCTGCCTGAGTAGGGGCCACCCCGATACTCGCCTGACGGCCAAAAAGACCTCCTTTCAACTTGCATGCACTGTGTGCCATTCACCGCTGCCACTGCAGAGTGCTGCGCTGGGTGTGATGATTCCTTAGGTCTTGTACGTGATCAAGAATGAAGTCGCTACTGAGTGGCCTCGCGCACATGGAGGCCTTTTATTGCCAATACAGCACCGGCTCAGGAAGCTTAGTGTTCCCCAGCAAGCGTTCCAGGTAGGCGAACCGAGAGAGAGAGACAGAGATTAAGAGATATATATATATATACATACAATATATATATATAAAGCGAGAGAGAAAGAGAGACAGAGAGAGAAAAAAAGGAGAAAAAGAGAAAGAAGGTTGAGCTTCCAAGCAGTCGTTCCGACTGTGGAGGATCCCCTGCTGGCATATTAAGAGGCATCCTAGAGGCCTCTTGAAAGGCGTTATCTTCAGCTGCATGCGAGAAGTGCAGTGGTTGAGTCTTTGTCATCCAGTGCAGCAGCAAGCCACACTGGTCACTTTAGGCCGCCAGAGGCCGTATGTGGAGAAATGCGTGCATAGTATGGACGCTTGCATGCATGCATGCATACTATGCATGCACGTCGCCTGACGATGCTCCCTGCTCCGCCTCAGCGTGGCCACTCGCAAGCGCATGCACAAGAGAAGTCTGAGTTTATGGCTGCGCAAAACGGGGAGCAAGCGGATCCGTCGATATACTTCCGCAGTCGAAATTCTGACAGGGCGAAGACACCTCCCGAACAAGGTTCTGACAGCTTGCAAGGTGCCAGACGCTCGTCCACTCTTTGGACGCGACGCATGCATGCGTTTCCCAGCGCCTCGAGGGGGCAACTGCCAAGTCGTCAAGCTACGCCAGTAGACTCCTCGGCGATCGTGCTCGAGGAGACCCTTGCGGATGTTACTTTCGTCTGGAATGTGGACTCTGACTTAGGGAGGCTCGCGCTTCAGCGAACGACCATTTCACAGTTTCTGCGTGAGCGCCAGGCGAAGAAGGGCAGGGCATTCGAGCAGCAAACTCTTCGCAGCGGCAGCACTGAACGCGTGAGTAAGGGTGTGTATGTATGTGTGTGTGTGGGTCTGAGGGTGTATGGTCGGATGTGTAGTTATGAGAGGGTGTGTGTCGGTGTCTTAGTGTGGGTATGTCTGTGTGTGTAGGGATGGTTGTCTGGATGTTTGTGATTGTGTGTAAGTGAGTTAGTTTGCGTGCGATGGGTGGTAGATCAGGTTGTGTTTGTGTTTGTAGTTGTTGGTGTGCTTGTGGTTGTGTCTGTAGACGTTGGTGTAGGTGTTTGGAGTTTTTTTGTGGGACGGGTATGAAGTTTCAGGATCGTTTGTGTGTTTGTGTTTTTCGGTGTGTTTGTTTTTTTTTTTTTTTTGTATTTAATGTGTTTTTTATTTT